CCCGGCCGGGCTCCTCCCCCCGGCACACCGACGCCAGCACCAGCCCGGAGAACAGCCCCGCCTCCCCGGGGCGGCACGGGCCCGGGTACAGGCACGACACGGGACAGCCCCAGGGGTCCGGCACCAGCCCCGAGCTGAGCCCCCGCTCGCCCGGGCACCACACCCGGGGAAGCAGCCGTCCCGAGAGGAGCTGGGCGCCCCAGCACGGGCGCGCCCGCCAGCCCCCTTCCCATCATGCCCAGCAGGGCCACCAGCGGAGCCGGCGGGACGCCCCGTCCGAGGCCCCCGGGCACGGCTCCCGGGAGTCCCAGTCCAGCAAGTCTGACTCCTCCCGGAACCGGGACAATACCTCGACCGCCAGCCCCAGCCCGGAGCGCTGCGAGAGGCATGGCGGCACCGAACCGGGGGGCCCGTGGACCTGCGCCGCTGCTTACAAGGTAAAATCCCCACCTCCTCCATCGGCCACAGCAGCACAATAGCATGTACTTGCAAAGCACTGGTTTGCCACCAGGTGGCGACCTCTCCAATCCAATTTCAATTCAAAATGCTTTATTGGCATAACCAATGAATTATTAAGAGTCAGGCTCACAGTCTGTTCCTCGGGCTGGGACAGGAGATCACACACTGTATTATTATTATTGAGAGACGGGCTCACTGTTCCTCAGGCTGACAGGAGATCACACACTGTATTATTATTATTGAGAGACAGGCTCACTGTCTGTTCCTCAGGCTGGGACAGGAGATCACACAGTGGGCTGCCAGTTCAACTGACTTCCCTCCTCCCCCTCTCAGTAAGCCTTGGAGCTGTTCTGATTCTGGCAGGTGTGGGAATTCTGGGATTAGTTTTATAAGTCTGGGGCAGAATGTTTGTCGTGATCCCAGAATATTTGTCGCCATGCAGTAGGAAGTGCATCTCCATCTCTCTCTTTTCCCACACAGCACTCGTATGAACACAAATAGGCTACCAGAACAGTAACTGTGCAGTGCTGTGCACCTCAGTCAGCAAGGGTTTAACTGCACACAAATGATTTGATACTGATTAAACAGTCAGGGAGCTCACTGCAGCAAAACCCTGAAACACTCTGTACTGAGATCAGGGCAGCGTTTTACATTGTGTTGTAATTAGTAAAGAAGTATCATCTGTAACATATTTGTGGGTGGTACCTATCGCACAGTTCTGGTCCTCTGAATCGTGCCCAGGGGGAAGCAATTAAAGGGATCATCGATTAATCAGTCGCCAGAGCTGATTAATTAACTAGGGCGTTAGCGGGATTGGAGTCTTTCAGTACCGTGCTCCCTGTTTCCTCATTCGCCCCCCCCCCCCTCCTAAGGGGACGTTGACACCACGATCATAGCTGTATGGCCCCACAGCCACAGAATCAGCATCGCAGGGTGCTTCCTTTCCAGTCTGTTAATTGAACTCCTAATTGGCTTAACGAGTCAAGGCCCTTGGGCCGCTGGTGGAAGGTGGGCTGCGCGGGGCTCTGGGTGTGAGTTGGTTGGTGAACAGGACCCCCCCCCCGCCATCCCAAACCACAGCCCTCCCCGCCCCCAGCCCTGACCCCATTAACGTACACCCGTGTGTCTGCAGTTTGGGGACCAACGGCTTCCCTGTGCTCTTTCTGTGTTCACAGGAGGGGACGTCGGAGGCCGACAGGGTTCAGTAAGTCTCTTTCTTCTCTCTCTCACAAGCGCTGCTGACCCAGAAGAGGCTTTGAGCGAGTTGAGGCACGAGAAAGCTTGGCTCAAAGTCTAAAAGTACCCTGTTCCTTCAGCGGCATGAAGCTCTCTGAGGCCCATGTCAGGGGTGAACGTCTCCTGTGTGTCGGTGACGCAAGAGACTTATAGTGCTGTGGATTTTGCTTGTCCCTTTGTCTGCCTGTGTGTGCGTACTTGTGTGTGCACGTGCTTGTGTGTGCATGCTTGTGTGTGGGCGTACTTGGGTGTGTGTGCTTGTGTGTGTGCTTATGTGTGCGTGCATGCGCTTGTGCATGCATGCTTGTGCGTGCGCTGCTGTGTGTGGGTTTCTCTGTGTTCTTGTGTGTGTGCGCGTGCTTGTCTGCGCGTGTGTTTGCACATGTGTTGGTGTGTATGTTTGCGTGTATGGGTGTGCACATATGGGTGCATTCGCCTGTGTGTGTGTGTGCGTGCTTGTGTGTGTGTGTGCTTGCCCGCGTGTTGGCGCATTGGTGTGTGTGCATGCGTTTGCCTGGATGTGTGTGCGTGTGCTTACCTGCGTGTGTGTGTGTGTGTGTTGCAGTTTCCTGCAGGAGCAGAACGAGGAGCTCCACCACAGCCTGGTAAAGACCACAGTCCGCATGGAGGTGATGGGGTCAGAGCTCAAGAGCAGCCACCAGCAGCTGGAGACAGAGCTGCAGAGGACCAGGGAGGAGCTGGAGCGCCTGAGGGAGAACTTCAGGAGGTCAGAGGTCAGGGGGTCAGGGGGCAGCTCCCTTCTGACTCTGCACTGAATGTGACGGGGGGGGGAGGGGGGGTGATCGAAGGGTTAAGGGAGAGTGAATATGCAGGGAGTCCAGGGGGCATCACTTTTCGGCTGCAGTGTGATTTGATCCAGTTGCACCCCCTTCCCCCTTGGGTGGAAAATAGAAAACTCCCACCTCTGTCCGTGAAAGGTGTTCAGTAGTTACTGATGCTCAGTAAGTCCCCCAAGCAGCCCTGGTCTGGAAGGGGGGTACCCTCCTCTCACTGTTCTCTCCTCTCCCGGCCACAGGCTTCAGGACAGCTACACCAGCTCCCTGCAGACCAACGTCGCCCTGGAGCAGAAACTCCGCTCGGTGGTGAGTAGCTCATCTCTACTGCGCCGTCGAGCTGCGCGGGTTCGAGTCCAGTCTGAAGAAAGCAAGCAGACACAGCAGAGTGTGGGATGGGCGCAATATTATTATTATTATTATTATTATTATTATTATTATTAATAGCCCAGAGCCCGCCGGTCCAGTCTGGGTCACACTGTACCCCTACAGTCCAGAGCTCGCCGGTCCAGTCTGGGTCACGCTGTACCCCTACAGTCCAGAGCCCGCCGGTCCAGTCTGGGTCGCACTGTACCCCTACAGTCCAGAGATCGGGGCTAGATGACTTAAAAGTTGCGTTTCTGCTTTTCAGCACGGAATTAACCTTTAATTGTCACCATTTTCGTCCATCTGCCCCAGGTGCCCACTCTGCTGCAGGGAGTCTTGGAGAAACACTTCCAAACGGACTGGGCCGCCGACCAATCTCTGCTGCCCATCCCCGCCGTCACGCCCCCTCCTGCCCAGTTCATGGACGACATCCAATCAGAGAACGGCCGTGGGGCCGGTGACCAGTCACTGAGCAGGATGCGACCCGTCCTGGAGGAGGAGGGCGAATCGGACTGGTCCGAGAAGGAGGAGGGCGGGAGGGGGCGGGGCTTGGGAGGTCAGCACGGGGTCAGGGCCTTCGTGCCCTGGAGGCAGGTGGAGGAGCGAGGGAGGGAGAGGGGTGGGAGCAGAGAGGGAGAGGGGGGAGACTCCGAGGAGACGGGGAGCGAGTCCGGGCCGGAGGAGGTCGGGAGGCTCCCCCACACGCTGCAGGTGCCCCACGTCCAGTTCGTTGTGCCCACGCCCGACGCCGGCCTCCAGACCCGCTTCCAGAAATTTCCCCCGCTCCCTCTCCGGGCGGGCGCCCCGGCGTCTCCGATCCGGATCCTCTCCAGGAGCCTGGAAGAGATCCGCCCGGCTGGCCCCTGGAACCCGGCGCCGAGCCCCCCCCACCACCTGGCGGACGACTCGGACGAGGATGTGGCCCGCCCCCGGAAAAGGGGGGGCGCCCAGATCCAGGGGGAGAAGGCCCCGGGAGCGGGGTCGGTGAGCTACCAGCCCCCCCAGGGGATCCTGGACCATTTCTTCCAGCAGCTGCGGCCGGACAGGGCGGGGGAGGCCGGGGAGACGTCAGGGGGCGCGGGCTGGGCCGCGGGGGCCTCCCGGGAGACGACACCAAGGGGGGGGGCCGTGAACGGGGAGAGGGGACCCCAGAGGGGCCCCCCGGAGAGATCCCTTTGAGGTGGCGCGGGGCTAAAACCGCCAAGCGCAGTCTCCCAGCATGCCGAGCGGCTGACCCTGCCAACGCTGGCTCCCCATCCCTCGTTTTCCAGAATCCCGGAAAGGGACGCGTTTCCCGACCAAGCCCACGGAGCGTTTTCTTCCTCCTCGAGATTCCCCCTCGCCTCGAAGTTCAACCCCCGCGGCCCGTCGCGTAGTCTGTAAAAAAACGTCGACACTGTGGAGCGTTTCTGTTAGGTCTGTGTCCTTTTGGGGTCTCAGTAGTAGAATTTTATTTTATCTAAATATCTCTCTAATATTTAATAACAAGTCCCGTAGCATTCTCCTAGCAAAGCTTGTGGTCACTCATGCCTGACTTATTCCATTGGCGCCTGTAAAGCTGGGGTTGAGATTTCCTATGAACGCCTCAAATTTGAATCACCTCTCAGGTGGGCACCCACGTTTCCCAACAGTACGCTGGCATTGCACACATTCCTGTGTGTGTGGGGGGGGGGGGTTACATCCAACAGCTTGAATTTTTGCCTCTCTAGTCTGATCTCTCTTAGGATCTCCATGGCGACGACCCCTCACCTTCCCAGCGTACCTTTCCCGTCCAAGACCGGATTAGCCCACGACAAACGGGACGTCGGGTCACCCCGCCCTTTACAAACGGCTGTGGGAGATCCCACAACCAACGGTGCAGATGTCAAGGGCCGGGTGTTTCGATCGCTTGATCGCGTCGGTCCGCGCGCGCGGATCCGGTTCTTGACGAGGTGGGACGCGAGGACGGGGACCGCCACAGAACCAGCGGACAAGAGACAGGAAGGGCACAGCAGGGCCCTGTGACAAGACAGACTGGTCAGCCAGCTGCTTGATCGCCGGCATCTGTGAGGCAGGAACCTGCTTTGTCTGAGTCGACGAGCTCTGTGCTGCGCGCTAATGTGTACCAGGTGTGAGGAGAGGTGTATAGAGGGTGAGGAATGTGTGCTTGTGGGGTGATCTGTGTGGGGAATATAGTTTCGTGTGCAAGTTAGACCCTTTAGTAAGTGTGCTGTATTTTTCGTACTTGCTTTGCTTGACTTGTGTTTAAGGAACTGGAGTTCTAATCTGTTTCCTTTGTTTGAGGACCCAGACAAGACTGTAGATGATTGTTTTTTTTGGGGGGAGGGGGGATTGTTACGTTACTGCATGGAGCCAGACCTGTGAATCTTCCCGATAATAAAACCTCAGAACTCGATATGCTACTGTGGAGTGTCTTGATTCCCCCAGACCAAGTACTGGGCTGTTAAAGTATTTAAAACTGAAGACGGGAGGCTCTTCTTTACACAAAGGGTGGTGGGGGTGTGGAACAAGCCGCCCCAGCCCTGTTGTTGAAGCCGGTGCCCTGGCTTCTTTTCAGGAAGCAGCTGGGTGAAATTGTTCCGTCAGGACAGGAGGCTCTCCTTTACCCAGAGGGTGGTGGGAGTGTGGAACAGGTGGCCCAGCCGTCCTGTTGAAGCTGATGTCCTGGTCTTTCTCAAGAACCAATGGCATGAGATCTTCAGATCAATTCATTACAAACTGGGAAACGGGCCAGATGGGCTGAAGAGAAACATACTGCCGTCACCTTGAACGGAGGAGATGACAAAATCCAAAAGGTGATCGGCATTATAGGTTTATTGAGAAAAGCCAACAAGTGACTAATTAAGAATCAATCTCCTTTCCATTACAACGCAATGAGCTGGGTGGGCCTAACTGCCTCCTCTCACTTGTACCTCAGAGACCGAGACTGGAGGCATTTGTTTACACAAAGGGGGGTGGGTGTGTGGAACAAGTCCCCCCCCCCCTCCACTGCCTGCCCTGTTGCTGAAGAAGATTCCAGTGGCTCCTCTGAGAAACGACTGGTTGCTCGGATCGCTGATCTGCTGAGCAGTGAGAAAGGTCCTGGAGGTGGGGGTGGGGTAGGGGGTGACCCCACATTTGTTTAGCAGACGGGACCCTCTCTTAGGGACACTTCGGGGTCACCACATTGGAGACAGAGCACCTGGGTCCCCACGATTAGGTTCCCCTCTATCTTTTTTGTCTCTACTTTCTACTCCTCCACCCTTTTGCTTGTGGGTTATCCCCAGTGGGTTTACCATGTTTTTACCATGGTCTCACCCAGTGCTACAGCACGCTAGACCAGGGGGAAGGGGACCTTGCTTCTCCCATTCTGTTCTGTTCCTGAGGCTTTGCTCCAGGTTATCTTCAGTGCCTGTGCCAATTAATCAATTAAGGATCAATTAAGTAATTAAGGTATTGGAAGGATGGAAGTCCTTTAATGGCGTGGAATGGGAGAGTCAAGGTCAACTGCCCCGGTCCTAGACTCAATTCCACGACTTGCACAGAGACTCACATCTACTGCTGCTTTTAAACCCCAAAATTGCAAAACAGTACAATACAGTGATAGCCAGGTAAATTAAGATCAATTGGCAAACTTCAGATCAGATCATCCAGATCAGTTTTTGAAAGAGCGTGCTGTGATCACACCTCAGCTCAGCCAAGAGACAGCTGGTGTGTAAGTCTCCTTCCTCCTTTCGGGACAGGAAGTTATTTCAGCTTGAAGCCAAAGGCTTCTCAGGAGGTAGTGATGTCACTGCTCTAATGGTGATGATGTCACAGCAGGCGGACGGAGGTATGCTCCTTCAGGCTGTGTCTGATGATGTCAGGGCTCGTCAGTCAGTGTTTCATGATGTCATGGTTTAGCGCAGTTGAAGTCCGATGATGTCAGCACTGGGGGGGGGTCGGATGAGGTCAGGGTCCCGAGCAGGTGGGGTCTGATGATGTCAGAGCTCGCACCAGGCTCTCGTAGCTCAGGAAGGTGATGGCGTTGACAGGAAACGCCCTCAGGCTGTTGAGCCAGAGCCCCCTGAAGAGCACGGTCACGCCCTCGGCCCTCACGCTGTCCATGATGCAGTGCAGGATGCCGCGGTACCGCTGACCATCTGCAGCCGAGCCTTCACCATGTCCATAGGTGTGGCACTGGCCCAGGTCAATCTGGTCAGATTGGGGTGGCATAGGCTATATGAACGGAAATTTCCTTGAGTGACACACATTCACTTGCGACTGTGGCATCTGTTGAGAAAATTCACAATCCACCGACTGCGAGTCTCTGCGAATAAAGACGTCAGGCGGGCGGGTCGACGACCGTCAACCCTCACGACCCGCGCCTCTCTGCGAGAATTCAAAACGGCGCAAGAAGTGTAAAAGTCTACAAAAACAAAACAAAACAAAACAAACAAACGTGGACGACATAAGCGCCACCACTCCAGCCGGTCCGCGAGCCCAGCCGCGACAGGAAGTCGACGTCTCGCGGCCGCTCCGCAGAGGAGGGAGGGGGGGGGGGGGTGTCCGCGCGCTCTGTCTCCCCCTACTGCTTCCGGGTCAGGGAGGAGCCGCCGCCGCCAGGGTGTCAATAATACCGCAAGGCGTCGTTGCCGTCCTAATTGATCAAGTTGGAATTTTTGTTTTCTTCTCCCCTGGTTCTCATGGTTGATCTTCCTTCGTGAAGACAGCAGGAAGCCGGGACCCGAACGAGCAGGTGGGTGAAGGGTCAGTTCGGGTGGGGTGAGAGAGGAAGCCTGCCTTCAAGTTTGAGCTTAATTTCGTGTGTGTCGGTTTTATATATAAAAAGGAAACAATGGCGGAAGACGTTACCCCTTCACCTCCCGCTGATCTCTCACACTCGGAGCCCCCCTCTTCCCCTGCGAAATAGTAACGGGGGGTTCAAAGCGCAGTGGATACCGACGACCTCTTTCTATAGCGCCTTTCAAAAGGAGCTTTTCCAAACCCTTGACAGTTTAAGAGAGAGGGGAGGGAAAAAAAATTCAAGCACGAAAAGAGAACTCGGTTTTTCTCCAGTCGCTGACATGTCCGGCATTTCTAGTCTGTCGTCCGCCTTTCTGGTCAGAAGGCTTGCAGATGGGAGCCGGTTTGTTTGTGAGCGAGAGGTGGTGACATTTCCTGGCAACTCGTACCCTGTACCCGCCGCCACCTGTATCCCAGCAGATTTTTACCCCGCTGGCTGGTAATCCGGGTGTGCGTTTCGGACAGTAGTCTCGTACGGTGTGTGTGTATATGTGTGTGCGGTATATCTATCAGGGACTCGTCGCAGGAGTAGCAGAAGTCATTGCTGACAAAGTTCCCCGCTATCAGTCCGGTTGAGCCACCCTGAAGGAGGAAAAAGTGCGTTGGGAGTCGTGTCCGTGGATTGGTCTGGCGTGGGTGTGACGCCTAAAAACACCCCCGCGACTCGACCTGTGATTGCGTGCGTTGTGTCAATGACCCCCCTGTCCCCTAACTCCAATATATAGTGCCCTCATCGCTGGACTGGGGCATTAGGACCCAAACAGACCGCAGGGTGAGCGCCCCCTACTGGTCCCCACTAACACCTCTTCCAGCAGCAGCCTCAGCTCTCCCAGGAGTCTCCCATCTCCCTGGTCAGCTTCCACAGGCTGCCAGCAGCAGCTGCAGGGTGATTTGGCTGCTGGCTACTTGTCTAATAGACGTAGATCATTCGGAATCTCTGCGGACCGCCGTGTGTAGTTTAAATTGAATTGGTGTGTTAGACTAAGCGATTTAAAGTGTAATTCTGGGTCACTGAGGTATCCTACAGCACTTGGGGTAGCACTGCTGTAGGTCACTGTGACCACAGTAGGTTATTGTGTGGGATTGTAGATGACAATATTACTCTGCACACTGAAGATTTTTGTATGTGATTTTAGATAACGGTATTGCT